GCCATAATAGACGACGGCCATGAGCGAGGACGGCCATTAGAGAGGACAGCCATGATAGAGGACGGCCATGATGGAGGACGGCCATGATAGAGGACCGCCATTAGAGAGGACAGCCATGATTGAGGACGGCCATGATAGAGGACGGCTATGAGTGAGGACGGCCATTATAGAGGACGGCCATGAGCGAGGACCGCCATAATAGACGACGGCCATGAGCGAGGACGGCCATTAGAGGTTTACTTTTAAGGGTCCGTCTGACCAGCTTGCAAGGATAAGCAGGTTCAGATAGTGGATGGATGGATGGATGGATGGATGGATGGATGGATGGATGGATGGATGGATGCCTCTGTCCATCTGTCTTTGCTGATCCAGTTTTCCCTGCTCTCTGTCTGTCAGGTGTCTCTTTGTGTTTCATGATTTTAATCTGAAATAACGCAACTAGAGATTATTGTGGTCTGGGTGCGTCACGCCTCATTCACCCTTTACAAACCGCAGCCTGGCTGTGAGACAGAGAGAGAGAGAGAGAGACATTGAGAGAGAGAGACGTGTCTCTGGTGTCGCTCTGTGAACTTCCCACGCTGCATGGTGTGTGTCTTTGTGTGTGTGTCACATACTTCTCGCTGCCCCTCCTTCGTGATCGACGTTGTTTTGATGTTGTTGGAGGCTGGTTACCAGGGTAACCGCTTCTCATCCATGGAGGATGATATGTAGCAACACACACCGATGATATCAGCCTGTCAAAATAAAAACCTGAGGTGTTGCTGGTGACTGACGGATCATATTGGTTAGCTTTAATGTGTGTGTGTGTGTGTGTGTGTGTGTGTGTGTGTGTGTGTGTGTGTGTGTGTGAACCATGTATTAGATGCATTGTGGGGACCCGCTGCACCTGCTGGGGCCTGAAGCGTGGGCCCCATGAGGGGAAACGCTGGTTTGGGTTTGAGGTGAAGTGAGTTTAGGTCAAAGGTTAGAAATGAATGGAAAGTCAGAGACAGGAACCAGCAGCAGGACGTGATGTGGGCCGGTTCTGGTGGAGCCGGGTGTCCTGTGGTTGTGAGCAGAGTCAGAACCGGAGGTCCGTTTTAATAAACATCAGAACCATTGGGTGTCGGGCTGAAAAGTTCAGCTCAGCTTTTAGATCCAGAAGTGAAGCTGAAACGGGTCGGTTCTGGTTCAGACAGAATGAAAACCCAACATTCTCTGAGTATTTGATACAAATTCTTCCTGAGGTTTTAGGTCATCGTGATGTTGACCTTTGACCCCAGATGGATCAGTTGGTGTGCAGGTGAAGCCTGGAGCATTCTGACAGAACTTCCTGTGTCGTCCACTGAGGGGCTCTGGACTCTGACCCCTGCTGTTATGCAGGAAGTTCTCTTTGTTCCTCAGATTGTTGGAAACCTCGGTGACCCCGGAGCATGAGCAAAACTGCAGGTCAGAGGTCAAAGGACTTTCCATGCCGCTTGCTGTTCGGTTCTCTTCCTCGATTTCTGAACGTTTTGCCTTTTAACGTTTAGCATTTTCATGTAAATGTGTTCTGTAAAGAAAGTGATTCGTGTGGAAATCAGTCCAAACTTTTCTGTTATGTTTTTCCTTTCACTAAATTTTCCATTAGTATTATTGCATGCAGCAATCCAGCTGGTTCAGTAAAACTGTTTTATGTTTATTTGTTGTCATGAAGAGGAATGTGCGACTTGGGTCATAGTTTATTGCAAACAGTGACATCACACAGGTAACTCCGCCCCCTTGCTACTCAGATTTAAAGGAGCAGTTCACATTGACAGATTCAGACTTCAGGTCAGAAGCAGGAGGATGAAAAGAGGCACAGCAGAGTAAAAACGACCTTTGACCTGGAAACCTCAGTGTTCTGCTTTCTTTGAGCTGCAGTTCACAGTTTAGTCACCGGGCATCGCCACACAGATGGCTGTGAAACACTGAGCTGAAGTCATCGGATTGATTCACCAAATATATTGATCGAGTCTGCGTTACCATGGAAACCAGGAGACAAGGTTGCTAAGGAAACAGCAACAATAACATTTGATCATGTGTAGCACCTTGACCTGCTTTGACTAAACCCGATGAACAGCATCTGATCTGATGTGGTTGGAACTCACAGGAAGTCACTTTGGCTTTCAAATTAAAAGTCATGTCCACCAATAAATACACACAACCCTTCATAATAAAAGTCCCTGTCCAACAGCAGCTGCTGTTTCAGGTCAGAACTCGGTACAGGAGGCTGGACCAGAACCAATGGACCTGGTCAGGACTCCAGAACGGCTCTGGACCCGCTCTGCGTCCAGCTGAGGACTTCGGCCGTCTCTCCGCTGGCGCGGCTGACGAACACGGACGGCGGCTGCGCTGACGCCATCTCAAACCTCAGTTGGGCTGTGGTTCTGTTCCCTCGACAGGACGGGTTCTTCTTCCTGGTCTTGTGGAGTGCTGGATCGGGCCGGTCCGGCAGGGGGCCGCGGGCCTCTCGGTCCGGCTGGCGAGATGCCCTGGCGACGTCTCCGGAGGACGAGGAGCCCAGCTTGGCCAGCGCCACGGGGATTTCCTCCAGGGACTCTGCAGAGTCTGAATGGTACTCGGCCGGAGGGGCGGCGGCCTGGATGGGGCCCGGGGCCGGGGCAGGTCCTGGGGGGGCCCTCAGAGGGAATGCTGGGAAAGGAAGCCGCTGACCCAGGGAGGACTCTGCTGGAGAATAAAAGGACAACGTATTCAGAGGTCAGAGGTTAGGAGCACAACTTAACACAACTTTAGATGGAGTCATCAGTAAATACTGGGACGTCTTCAGCCATCAAACTTAAATTCAACAGTTTTCCATCTTGTTTTGTTCTTCAGAGCTTTTCTGGACTTAATAATACTGGGGTTCCCAACCCGCATGAGCGTTTGGACCGTCAATGCAAGGCCGTCCGCGTAACTACGGCGTGCTGGGAGTGGGGAACCCTGTTGGAACCATGTTGTTTTTACTCAGTTTTTCCATTCTTCTTCTTCTATTTCTCAATTGAAACTCCATAGACATAATATAAGAGTAGACCCCGCATTGGCCGCTCTGGCGCAGGAAATACGGCGGCCATCTTGGAGCGGTATACCTTCCT